AGCAACAAATTTGAACCCGGAATATCTTAAGAGCAACAATGTCGGACAACATATTAAGACCGGAATTGGGCGAGCAACAAATTTTTTTCGAGTAGTTTATTCTTGTAGCCAGCATGCACCTATAGGTTCTCGGCTTTTGTTTAAACACATACTGCTAGCAACAAATTTGAAACTGGGATATCTTAAGAGCAACAAAGTCAGACAACATATTAAGACCGGAATTGGGCGAGAAACAAATTTTTTTCAAGTAGTTTACTCTTGTAGCCGGCACAGCCCTATAAGTCCTCAGCTGTTGCTTAAACATATGCTGCGAGCAAGAAATTGGAATGCGGGACATCTTAAGAGCAACAAATTCGGACAACATATTAAGACCGAAATTGGGCAAGCAACAAATTTGTTTCAAGTAGTTTTCTCTTGTAGCCAGCACAGCCCTATAAGTCCTCGCCTGTTGTTTAAACATATACCGCGAGCAACAAATTTGAAACTGAGATATCTTATGAGCAATAAAGTCAGGCAACATACTGAGACCAAAATTGGGCGAGCAACAAATTTTTTTCGAGTAGTTTGCTCTTGTAGCCAGCATGCACCTATAGGTTCTCGGCTATTGTTTAAACATATACCGTGAGCAACAAATTTGAAACTGAGATATCTTATGAGCAACAAAGTCAGGCAAGATACTGAGACCGAAATTAGGCGAGCAACAAATTTTTTTCAAATAGTTTACTCTTGTAGCCGGCACAGCCCTATAAGTCCTCAGCTGTTGTTTAAACATATACCGCGAGCAACAAATTTGAAATTGGGATATCTTAAGAGCAACAAAGTCAGGCAACATACTGAGACCGGAATTGGGCGAGCAACAAATTTTTTTCGCGTAGTTTATTCTTGTAGCCAGCATGCACCTATAGGTTCTCGGCTTTTGTTTAAACATATACTGCGAGCAACAAATTTGAAACTGGGATACCTTAAGAGCAACAAAGTCAGACAACATATTAAGACCGGAATTGGGCGAGAAACAAATTTTTTTCAAGTAGTTTACTCTTGTAGCCAGCACAGCCCTGTAAGTCCTCGCCTGTTGTTTAAACATATACCGCGAGCAACAAATTTGAAACTGAGATATCTTATGAGCAACAAAGTCAGGCAAGATACTGAGACCGAAATTAGGCGAGCAACAAATTTTTTTCAAGTAGTTTACTCTTGTAGCCGGCACAGCCCTATAAGTCCTCAGCTGTTGTTTAAACATATACCGCGAGCAACAAATTTGAAATTGGGATATCTTAAGAGCAACAAAGTCAGGCAACATACTGAGACCGAAATTGGGCGAGCAACAAATTTTTTTTGAGTAGTTTACTCTTGTAGCCGGCACACGTCTCTAGGTCCCCGGCACTGTCTTTTTCCAAATGACTGGAGCAACAAAATCGGGAATAGAGCAACAAATTGGCAACAAAATCGTAGTTTAAAAATATGTGTTCGTTTTTCATTTTTTTTTTTTTGACGGGCTGTGCTAACTTTAATGTTAAGTTAGCACAAACCCTGTTTTCTTGGAAATGGCTGGAGCAACAAAATCGGGAATAGAGCAACAAATTAGCAACAAAAGCGCACTAAATTTCTGTGCTAGTATGCGATTGTGCTGAAAGGGCTGTGCCAGCTTAATAGACGTCAAATCTGTCCGGTCGGGTCGCCGCGCCCCTCCCAAAAGAAGGGCACGGCACTTCGGCGAGGGGCTTCATCAGAGCCCCAGGGCTGGAGTGTCGGGGAGGGAATGTCGTCGCAGTTCCCCCGACTCTCCCACTCCGGCTCGCCTGGTAGGCATCCCGGGGAGGTTTTAGCCGTTAAGAGTCCGGCATAACTACGCCACCCCTCCAAGGGAGGCGAGGTATCCATAAGGATTCCTCCCCCGTTAACAAAAAAAAGGCGCTGCGCTATAAATAGGTGTTGTATTTCTTTTCAGTTGCCCTGTATTGTCTCTTATATATATTTTCTCATACTATAATATGGAAAAGAATTAATTTTAATGACACAATATGCAACTTATTGCACAAAATTAGATAGATGAACGTGCATGTACAAGATGGACCATTTAAGTTGATAATGCGAAATACCTAAAAAACGAAGCGTTGGAGAAATGTTTTAAATAAAAGTTGTATGATTTAAAGGGGAACGTACAATGGTGCCCTTGATTTGACTTTGAAACGTGTATTTAAGGACAGATGAAAATCAACTTATTTTTTTAAAAAAGTTCAATTTTTTATTATATCTTCTTTTTCTATCAATTAATTTTAACAACTTTTGTTTGGAACATTTTTTTATTTAACTAATATTTTTTGACATGTTTAAGGAAAACTTGATAACTCTTTCAATATTTAACTTATATCTCGCTAACTATTTGTCGGAAAAAAAATGGTACTAGACTCTTTTATTTTATTTAATCTCAAGAATATATTGTTATAATAGTACTTTAACTTATCCATCTTTGGAAATTTCAAAATCATCAGATTAACAAAAGTCAGGAAGGAAAACCACTTTTTCTTTCGACAAATAGCGAGATAAATTAAATATTGAAAACGTTACCAAATTTTCCTTAAATATCTTAAAAAATATTAGGTAAATGAATTTCAGACAAAAGTTGTTAAAATTAATTGATAGAAAAAGGAGATATAATAAGAAATTGGACTTTCTGTTTTAAAAAATTAAGTTGACCATCTGATCTTAAATATACGTTTCAAAGTCAAACCAAAAACACCATTGTACATCCCCCTTCAAACCATACACCTTTTATTTAAAACATTTCTCCAACGCTTCGTTTTTTAGATATTTCGCATTATCAACTTAAATGGAAAAACTTAAATGCTCCACCCTGTATATGCACGTTCATCTATCAAACATCTTTATTTCGTATAATAAGTTGCATATTGTGTCATTAAAATTAAATCTCTTCCATATTATAGTATGAATAAATATACATAAGAGACAATTATTGAGCATAACTGAAAAGAAATAATACAACACTTACTGTGCGGCGCCTATAACACGATGATATCATCTCGCTTTTTTAAAAATTAATCATGACCATATTGTATTATTATACAACGTGAGGAAAAAAGATGAAAACCCTTAAAAATCTCGAAAGATATAAATTTTGCAGAAGTGTTTCAGACAAAAGTTATAAGGCTCAAAACGATATATTTACTGATCTTATCAGTTTGACTTTGAGTGGCGTTGCCAAGGTCAGGTTAAAGTCAACTTATTTTTTTTAAACAGAAACCCCCATTGCTTATTATATCATCTTTTTCTACCAATTAATTTGAACAACTTTTGTGTGAAATATTTTTTTATTTGTCTAATATTTGTTGAGATATTTCAGGAAAACTTGGTAACTTTTTCAATATTTAACTTATATCTCGCCAACTATTTGTCGGAAGAAAAAATGCTATTAGACTTTTTTATTCTACTTGGTCTCAAGAATACATTGTTACAATAGCATCCTGACTTTTGTTAATTTGATGATTTTGAAATTTCTAAAAGTCAAGTTAACAAAAGTTAGTTAAAAGTTAACAAAAGTTAGGGAACTATTGTAATAATATGTTCTTAAGACCAAATAGAGTAAAGAAGTCTAATACCATTTTTGCTTCTGACAAATAGTTAGCGAGATATCGTAAGTATTGAAAAAGTCATCCAATTTTCCTTAAATATCTCAAAACATATTAGATAAATAAAAACATGTTTTAGACAAAAGTTGTTCAAATTAATTGATAGAAAAGATGATAGAATAAACAATGAGGGTTTCTGTAAAAAAAAATGTTGACCTTGACCTAACCTTGGCAACGCCATTCAAGGTCAAACTGATGAAATCAGTAAATATATCATTTTGAGCCTTATAACTTTTGTCTAAAACACTTTTCTGTAAAACTTATATTTTTCGAGATTTTTAAAGCTTTCCATCTTTTTCCTCACCCTGTATATGTGGAATAAATTTAATTATATATACTATTTAATATTATATACTATTATATATTATATACTAATTTAATATTATATACTATCCTTATTCTAAATTATTTTAATTTGAATAATACATGCAAAGCCCATGGTATGCATTAAAATGTAAGCAGTAAATAAATTAATCAACTATAGTCGATTATTCTCAGACTGTAAAAAAAATAATCAAATATTGTTGGACAATTTGGTTATTGCTTACCTCTTTATTTATATTGTTTTTCTATTAGAGACCTAGGCAATGATAAATTATGCTGGTGTAGTATCCATTACAACTTTAAGGACTGTTATCATAAATACATTTTTCATCTTGCCCAAAACTTTTACATTATAAAAAAATATTCTATAACATGTTACAATTGATATTATGGAAGCTATATAATATAGATTTTAATAATTATATAAAAAAGGTTATATCTTTTGAATATTTTCATCTTATCGTAGTATGTATTGTAAAATATAAATTTCTAACTTTTACTTAACAGTTATGTAGAGATTGTATGTAATTTCCAAGATGTATTATTTTATATTTTCGCAATAAGTATGTTCACAATAAATGCGCGGTTTTCATAAAATTTTTGCATAAATGTTTTAAGAGATAGAGTAACTAAGCGTGAATTAGGTTAGATTAAAACAAATATGTTATCATATAAACATAATGCATATATTAATATGAAATAATATTTGATGAAATATGCATGATGCTATACCGCATTATGCTATGACAAATATCATCATGTTGGTTATTTAGCAGAATTTTTTTAAAGCAGAATTTTTTTATTATTTTTGAAAAATTCTTTTAATCTTTTGACATTTTGATTATGTGAAACTCATTGAAGTATTTTTAAAGATTATGGCAGAAATATATCAGAACACATATAAAACATACATAGTAAATATCTATTTTTTTTTAACAATGAACATCTACATATACATTAATATACATTTTTTAATAATGAACATCTACATATACATTACATGGTAATTATACAGAAGACCCCCCTCACCTCCAATATCGACGAAAAAATACTTAATCGACGCATTTCTGCAAGACAAACAACTTTCCAACTTGAAAAATTCGTCGCTCTGCCTTGTGGAACGAGATATTAATTATTAAAATTGACGGTAATTTAGGTTAGAAAATCTGTCACACCGACGAAATGTATCAACATCGACAGATATATGCCTCGCGGTCTTATGCGCATGCCCCATGATTACGTGCATGTTCAGTGGCTACGTACGCATGCTTGAATGCACGAAATTTGAAATGATATAAAACAAATGAAGTGCTACAAAATTGTAGTAACAATATCGGCATTATTTAATTCGGTACAATACTAACAAGGAGATTGCAAAACATGTAAAATCGATAATTGAATGAATCATATTTTATTTGAATGGGGGGAGGGTTGAATACATAAAAACCCTAAAAGGGTTTGTGTGCATGGACCTTCGTTTGCGAGAAATTTGCAGTTAAAAAACAGCTGCATGTTAAGTGTAGTAACTTGGAATCAATAAGCATAAAGCGCGGTAGCTGCGGAAGCTAAAGCGCTAGTATTTTATCGTCGTCGTCCGAAAAATATTCGAGTTCTCGCAGTGCCAACTTTTTTTTTATAATATTATGTATTACTATATTTTATATTTCTATATTTTTAATATTTTTATTATTTTATATATTCTATAGGACAAAAATATAATGCACACATATATAATATCTGTCTTGTTATATAAAAAATAACGTTTTAATTATATAATTATATTATTATATAAAGAATAAACGTTTTAATTATTTATTATTTATTTATTTATTTTAATTTTTTATTATTTATTTTTTATTCTTGCTATTTTTTATATAATAAAACAGATATTGTATATGTGTGCATTATATTTTTGTCCTATAAAAAATAATAAAAATATTATAGAAATATATAATAAAATAGAGTAATACATAATATTATTAAAAAAAAAGTTGGCACTGTGAGGGCTCGAACACTCCTCGGACGTAGACGACAAAATACTAGCGTGCGTCTTAGCTTCCGCAGCTACCGCGTTTCATGCTTATTGATTCCAAGTTATTACACTAATATGTAGCTATTTTTTTAATTGCAAATTTCTCGCAAACGAAGATCCATGTACGCAAACCCTTTTAGGGTTTTTATATACTCAACCCCCTCCCCCTCTATTCGAATAAAATATGACTCATTCAATTATCGACTTTACATGTCTTGCCATCTCTTTGTAAGCCTGCTAGAATTCGAACATTTAACTCATTGTAACGAAAAATTAATACATTTTTTAATTTGCAGCATGTGTTGGCAGCTACAATTAAGTGCAACAAATATGGTAATGATATTAATATAAATAAAAAACATTAATATATTGATTAATCTATTGAAATAATATATTAATATATTGATTAATTGATAATAAAATATATTGATATAGAAAACGTATTATGTGAAAAATGTACATAAGAAACGTGTATCAAAACAGTATGATTTTGATAAAAATGCGAAAGCAGGTATTTGATTCGGGGACAGTTATCTTGATATGGTAATAATATGCAAAATTGTTGCATATTTTTTAATGTTAAGACATCCACGTCAAAATGACACCCAGGATGAAACTGGCGTTGAGTCACCGACCACGATTGTTGACTAGTTCAATTTTTGCCGAGAGATAAACATATATCAATATATTTTTATATATAAGTTCAAATATTTTGAGATGTGTATAACAAAATATTAATAATATTAATTTTTATAGATTTGTGTTTTGGGCTGAGAAACAGCGAGAAGGTTGGTGGTCCAAGACGCGCAATCAAAATCAATGAAGTAAAAAGACAAAAGGAAGTACAATCATTATCGGCTCTTACGAAATCTTTGAATTTTTGGAGGATATAAACAAGGCACGAAGATTTTCATCATCTCTGTACAGGATTGGATGGGAGAGACACTCCTGGCATGTGTCAATGAGTGGATTTTACCAGGAATAGCAATAATATCAGATTGTTGGAAGTCTTATAATTGCTTCAGCAATGAAGGCTTCCAACATCTAATTGTAAATCACTCTTATAACTTCGTCGATCCTGAGAGTGAGAAATGTTTTAAATGATTAACATATATTTTAAGTAAACGTTTGTATTAAAAACATTTTTAAATTTGCAGGTGCGCAGACACAACAGATAAAGCATATTTGGAGAGAAGTTCGTGGAAGTATTCCAAGATATGATATTACAGAGTACTATTATGCCTTTGGATATTTATGCGAATTTCTCTTCAAACATGCCTAATCACTTAGAATTGAAAACTTCTTCGATGTCATCGTGGAATCTTTCAATATCTATCCCTGAGAATCAGCCAGAGTCATCCGATGAACCATGTATCAACATTACATAAAAACATGTTTCTTATATACATATTTTAATACCGTTTTCTATATATGTTAATATTTCTTTATATTAATATTATTAGCATATTTACTAAACTTAGTTATAGCTGCCAATATAATGCTGAATTAAAAAATCAATTAAAATGTTTTATATTTATATATTTTATATTTATATTTTTACATACTATATTTTTATTCATATTTGAAATATATTTTATATATTTATTTTTATTTCTGTCATTTTTATACATTATCTCATTTATATTTACTATTTCAGCTATATCTGCCACTTCTCTTATTTTCTTTTAAATTTTCTCTTATTCTCTTTCACCTTATTAAAACGATGTCTACAATATACTAAAAATGATACAGAATACACAACAATATACAGAAAAGATTAACAAAATTCCTATGCAAGGGAGGATCATGAATAAAAAACGGAAGAATCATATGCTATTTTATTACATAACAAGGGGCTCAAGGTCAGTTCTACATAATAAGATAGCACATGCTATCATTCTTCTGTTTCTAATTCATGATACATCCTTCTTTGCGTAGGGGCCTTGCTAATTTTTTTCTGTATCCATTTTTAGTATATTGTAAACTCATCTTTTTATTAAGACAAAGATTTATTTTTCATTATCTGTCACCTCCGTGACAGATTTCCTAACCTTAATTGCTGTCAACTTTAACAATTAATATCTCGCTCCACAAGGCAGAGCGACGATTTTTTCAAATAGAAAAGTTCTTTGTCTTGCAACAAAAAGTCGATTAAATAGTTTTTCGTCGATATTGGTGGTGAGAGAGTCTTCTGTATAATTGCCTATTACATAAATTAAAAATATATATGGCATCTGAGATATAAGATTAGGTTTATTAAAAAAAAAATATATGCCTAATTACATATATAATTATATGTGCACATGCGCACGCATGTACACAATATCACATATATATATTGAATTATACACTGTACATTAGACTTAAAATTTCGGCACTTTAAAATAACATATATCTCAGAAATTACAACCCTCACATAGTAAAATAAAAAAGTTTCTCAGATATTCATCCTTTATAACATATGTCAAAATAAGAAAAAATTTAAGAAATGTATGTTTGGATGTGTGTAACATTTTCTATATAATTATCTATTTTTTTCCAGGAGGATATTTGTTTCTTTATACTTATTGTTTAAATGAGCTTTCAAAACCTATCGAAAAATAACAATTTCCCTAAAATTGAGGAAAAAATTATCTATTTGAATTTTGACCATATATAACATCTACATGCAAAAGAATATTGTACAAACGCAACTGAACTAAATGCTTATAGCAGACTATAATATCAATGTTTAATTGAATTAAATTTAATTGAATTAAATTATTTGAATTAAATTATTTTCTCTTCCCATTTAATAACTTTTCTTTGTCTGAATTATAAATATTCAGATATAAAAACAAAAATTAAATGTGAGTTATATATGATTATATATAATCATATATCATTTTCTATAAATATTTTATAATTTTATATAAATTATAAGTAATTCTTTTTCATGGAAAGTTAAAGTATTAAGATATTGTAACATAAGTTTTAAGTTGTGTAAGTTTTATACATCAGTATTTACATCTCTCAACAAAGTAATCATAATTTAGTATAAAATTATTAGTCTATATATTAAATGATTTATAAACAAAACCAGTATTCTAAAATAAATCACAACAAAAATTTCAAAATCAAAAGATTGAACGTATGAAAATAAAAAAAACATTTCTGTCTATCTATATATATCTATATACATATATATGACACATTATCTACTATCTCATTATCACATATTTCCATAATCAATTTTACTAGCATTTGTTCTTGATCGCGGCTGACACAGTTTTTTACTAGACATGAGTGTGTATATGTGTGCGTGAGTGATTGTTCTACTTTTCCCGATAACCTCTATTCTATATTTAAATAAGATAATCCACGCGTGCATGTGATGCCTACCGTTACACGTTTACTCGACAAAACACAACTGAACTATCAATGGATGCATTGGGTGCATTCAGTACTACAACCGCTCACTGAACGCTCAATGAGCTTTTACATTTGATTGGTATATTCCTTTAGATTTAAAAATATATACCAATCAGATGCAAGAGCTCACTTAGCACTCAGTGAGCGGTTGTAGTACTGAATGCACCCATTCAGTACTATAACCGCTCACTGAGCGCTCAATAAGCCTTTACATTTGATTGGTATATTCCTTTAGATTTAAAAATATACACCAATCAGTTGCAAGAGCTCACTTAGTGCTCAGTAAGCGGTGGTAGTACTGAATGCACCCAATGAATACCTCATGCAGCAGAAATAAAGCCAGCGGCACACGGTGCTTGTTTTCGTGCTGGATTGCTTGCTGGATGAAAATACTGCGTTCTGATTGGTATATTTTCGAAGATGGATGGAAATGCACCAATCAGAACGCAATATTTTCATCCAGCAAGCAATCCAGCACGAAAACAAGCACCATGTGCCGCTGGCTTAAGTCTTCTGAACACAATGAGGCGCACTCATGGGAATTTTGTCGCGTATGCGCACAAAGCGAATGCAAAAAATCCTCACGTATATACTTCGGCCAAATATAAGGTATCGTTAGATCCCAGCGAGGAAAGAAATGTAAAAGAACTTGTATGGATTCATTTTTGTTGCTCTTAATGTGCTTTTAATTAGTCACTTCGGTAATTGTGAAGCATACGGGCCTCCTAACCAATTTCGCTGAAACTTTGCACAATTATGTATTTTGGTGCATAGAACGCGAATTTGAAGGAAAAAAGTGTCGCTTTTAAACGGATCGAAAGTTATAAAGTAATAAAAAATGACATACGAAGTTAGGAAATCTGTCATGCCGGTAATACAGAGACTGATGGTCTGTTCTTTTTAGGCCCGGTTTCACAATTTACTGTAAACGAAGTTTAACCATAGATATAGGAATATAGAGATGGAGCATAAACTCGGGGGGGGGTGAAGCCATTGCGGGGAGGGTAACGAGGTAAAGTGTGAGCACTTTTCATTGGTTGTTATTGTACGCATGCGTGTAGCATATATAAACAGAGAAACATTGGCCGCGTTCAGTAGACTCAACAGTTGGACAACATTACTAGATTTTCCACCGAATCTCGCTCCTGATTGGTAAATACTTCTGTGTCTATGAAGAATCTAAAAGAATGCTCCAATCACAGACAATAATCACTAAGCGCTCTCTGATCACTTTGTTTTACTGAACGCGGCCATTATGAAGAGATTATAGGAAGTGAAACACAGCAGTGTAGATAAGAAATAAAATTAGATTTGTTATTACAAGAAATAATTGTAAGCTTTCCTAATAGGTAATAGCCTAGATAATACAAGATATTAAAAAATCGTCTACCATAATATATCCAATGACGAACATAAGTAAAGAGTAAAGAATATCTTAAAATATCCTAGGAGTATCCTAAGATATCTTAAGGCTCGTCTACATTAGCTGTAAGAGTAAGGCTGTAAGGTTGCAAGACACGAAATGAAATATTTTCATTCGCTGACAGCTTACGTTACAGCCTTACAGCCTTACTCTTACAGCTATTGTAGACGAGCCTTTAAGTGTGTCTAAGACAATATAGGGATAATTTGTGGTATCTGGGTGCAATGAATTATTTTTAAAAAGCAATTTTTTTAACCCTGAATGTGTGTATGTATGTATTTATAAAGTCATATATTTAATAAAATTGTATTATTTAAAGGTATGTAAATAATGTAATGTATGTTAATCGGGCCTTGTAAGAATATACATTAGAATGTGTTGTATTCAGCGCCACTGCGCCTGTGCATCATTTTATCCAATGAAAAATGCTCACACTTTACCTCGTCGCTCCTCCCTCAGTGGCTTCACCCCCCTTGTCTAAGTACTGAGTTCATGCTCCATCTCCTATATCTATGAGTTTAACTCGTTAACCTTAATTTAGACGAAAAATTGCGTTCCACAACTGCCTTAAACCATGGTTAACGTTGATTTCTCACAGTTAAAGTTAAACCCAAAACTTTGGGCGTTTAATGAATTTGAACGAAGTTTAAGGCTCGTCTACAATAGCTGTAAGAGTAAAGCTAAGACTCCATGCATGCGGTGAGCTGCGGCAAACGGTTGCGGTGACCAATCAGAAGACAGACGCATGCCGGAGCTTGCCGCAACCGGACTTGCGCCTCCCTCCTGATTGGTCACCGCAGCATTTGCCGCAGCTCACTGCATGCATGGAGTCTAAAGCTAAAGCTAAGACTCCATGCATGCGGTGAGCTCCGGCAAACGGCTGTGGTGACCAATCAGGAAACACACGCATGCCGGAGCTTGCCGCAACCGGACTTGCGCCTCCCTCCTGATTGGTCATCGCAGCATTTGCCGCAGCTCACCGCATGCATGGAGTCTTAGCTTAAGACTCCATGCATGCGGTGAGCTCCGGCAAACGGCTGCGGTGACCAATCAGGAAACAGACGCATGCCGGAGCTTGCCGCAACCGGATTTGCGCCTCCCTCCTGATTGGTCACCGCAGCCGTTTGCCGCAGCTCACCGCATGCATGGAGTCTTAGCTTTAGCTTTAGCTTAAGGCTGTAAGGCTGTAACGTAAGCTATCAGCGAATGAAAATATTTTATTTCGTGCCTTGCAACCTTACAGCCTTACTCTTACAGCTAATGTAGACGAGCCTTAACACTGCAGCACCGTCAATTTGAGAAACAAATTTATGACTATCCCGGTTTTGGAGTTCAGTTGACAAATATTTTGAACGTTTGAACGCCAAAGAGATATGGCTTTAGAATATATATTATCTTCATCTGAAGATGAAGATTTTGAAAACTTAATTTATCGATGGCCAAGAAATATAAGAAGACGACCATCATATTTGGAAGAATTTGATAATGTCGATTTTCATGCATGATTTAGATTATCAAAAGAATCTGTTATTGCAGTTCTAGCAGAAATCGAGCATGAAATTTCTCATAAAACAGAACAGTAAGTATATAAATTTAATTTAAAATATTGGGTTTTTTGCTTCGACAGATTATATTCTAAACAGCTAAGTAGTAACTATTTAAAAAGTCAATTATTATATGATAAATTCATATCAATATCATAAATCAAATCAATAATATAAACTAATTGATTATTATTAACACTGGACTTCCACCTTTTAATAAATTAATACTTATATACAAATACAACAAATGTTACTGTTGGTTGATGTTTACTTGATACGAAACAGATAAAAGATCAAATCATTAATACAAATAATAAAATTTTTTGCTAGAAACAATGCTATATCTCCAATGGACCAGCTTCTCTTGACATTAAGGTTTTACGTAACTGGATGTCATTTGTTGTCAGCAGGAGATTTTTCTGGATTTTTATTCATCGTGTAACTGCTGCTATTGCTCGTCTTCGACCAAGATATATAAAGTTTCCTACAACTGCTGAAGAAATAAAAAAGAAACAAATAAAGTTTTTTGATATTACACGATTTCCAAGAGTAATAGGTTGTATAGATTGCACTCACATTAAAATACAATCATTTGGTGAGTAATATCCAATGTTGCAAAGGAAAATTGTGTTAACAATAAAATTAATAGTGCATATTTTCATGTATAAGCCATACACATACATTAATTTTTATATTGTTAACTGCAAAGAGTAACTGAAGATTATTTATTTCAGGTGGAAATGACGCTGAATATTTAAAAAATAGAAAGGGTATTTCAGAAATAGAAAGGATATTTTTCTATAAATGTACAAGCAATATGCAATGTAAATTTGGAAATAACTGATATTGTAGCTCGCTGGTAAAGATCAGTGCATGACGCTACAATATTTAACAATTCCAGGATACGTGCCTTATTCGAAGCTGGAACATTTGAAAATTCTTTGTTATTAGGTGACGGTGGTTATGTTGTTTGTTCATATTTTATGACACCTTTACAAAATCCACAAACTCGTGCAGAGCAGTTATATAATGAATCGCATATACGAACACGCAATACTACCGAGCGTGTAATCGGAATATGGAAAAGATTTCCCATTTTAGCATTTGGGTCCCGATTTCAAACAGTAGATAAAGTATTATCTATGATTGTTGCAACTGCTGTATTATATAACATTGCTCGACGTACTGGAGATCCATTACCTCCAAATGATTTAGAATCACAATGGGAAGATATTATAGAAAATGGAAATATACGTTGTAGAAATGATGGACGCGGTAATAATAATAGCATGCAGATTGTATTAATCAACGATTATTTTCAAAGGTGAGAAAATAACTTTGTAGTAAATGATGTGTCTATAAATAGTATACTTTTACGAAAAAGTACTTGATATTTTATAGTTAAATATGATAGAAAATAATGTTATTAACTTCTCGATATTTTATTTTTATAATGCTGTGCAAGCAAAGAATTATTACATTTATTATTTCTTAATATGATTATTGTAACATTTTATTTTACTTTTCAGATTATTATAGAATAATCTGTTTCGGTGCCTCTTACCAAAGAAAGAATGAGAAAAAATACGGAATTACTGTATTAAAAATAACATTAAAAATAACAGAATTGCTTTATTGAACGTTATACATAAATATACAAACATTAATATTATGAACCATTTATTTTAAAATGTACGTAGAATCAACATTTCAATATTACTAGTTTAAAACACATTTTATATGTACCATGATAAAATAAATTAATATTTTTACATATTTTACATTTTAATTTTCACTCTCTCTTTGGTACATCACAAAACTTAAAATTTCTTCTATATTTAACATAAGACAACGTACAGCATAAAGTTTAGCAGATTAATACAATCTGCAAGCAGATTAATAATAAAATACAATAAAATAACAAGTTTTTTAATGTGTACATATAAATTTTGCACTTTTTGGATATAATATCTAATATATATGAGATCGAAATAAAAACTAATAGAGAAACTCGTGATAAATAAAATAAATTATATAGTCAACAAAGCTTGCTTATTACTAGATTTTCTCTTCATGTGCGTGTGTGTATTATTTTTATGATACTGTTTCTGTGACATGTAGTAACACTAATATATTTAAAATTATAAATGTAAACTATAAACTATATAAATTTATAAAATACTACTGACTAAAATACTACTGACATTAAAAGAATACACATAATATTTTTAACAAAAAGCATGTTCAATGTATGACCTAAAATAGGAAACAATCGATATAATTAGAGAGCGGGACAATTTTATTTTAATCAGAATTCAACTGTTTTTTAAGTAGTTCAACGTGAAGTTTTTCTTTTTTTAATTGCATTTCAAGAATTGATATTTCTAATTCTGCTTTTTTGTAAGTATTTGCTTTCAATATTTGTACCAATTCTATTTTGGATTGTACAAAATCATAATGTCGTTCATTTCGTTTAGCAGAATTTACTTGAAGTTGTTTGGATTTCTTGCACTTAACACATGGCTTTGATAAGTTACTTGTTGCTGCTGGATTGCAATTTTCCTTGGAGGACGATGATATGACTGTTTCTATGTCTTCAAATGTCAAACATTCTTCATTGTCACTGTTATTTAATAATTGCAATTTTTTGCTCTTCTTAGACCTTAGTTTGGCTGGTGTCCATTCAGCCCAAGTTATATCATTCGCATTTTCTTCTTCAAGAAACTGTAACAAATATAAACATTTTCAGATAATAATTTCTCCAATATTTCAAATATATATATATATTTTTACATATATTTATATATATATTTACATATATTTTTACTATATATTTTTATATATTTATATATATTTTTACATGTATATATACCTCTATTTGATAAAAGTCTTCATCATTTTTTAATTGTTTGCTAGATCCTGAATTGTTATCTGTATCTGAAATACATATTATACTTTGTATCAAAATTATATATATTTATTAATGCTAATAAAGAAATTAATATAAACTTTTATGTTTTATATGTCTTAAGGTAATTTATCATGTAAAATTTGTTTGTAGCATACTTGGCATATAATCACTGTCAAATATATTTTGTAGACCCTCGACTGATGGCTGAATAATATTTTTTATTCTTTCAGCAATTGGGTCATCAATTATTTTTATCTTTCCACTACCTCCTATATATAAATTACCGAATTAATATGACTTATGTGTAATATTAATATATTTTAAACACTAATTAAATTTAATTATTTCACAAAGCCTTAAATATATACCTGTTTTGAAAATTTCACTACGTATTTCAACATAATGTTTCCGGGTTCTTTTTTTAAATTATCTCAACAATTTTTTAGATATGCAACATCATGATGTCCGGAGATGGAACTGCTATTAAATTCTCTTGTGATATTTTTCCAACAGGTAGTTTTTTCTTTTAAAATGATGTTGTCCGTTTTCTTGTTTTCTATTATGTTCTTTTCGCGTTCTACTAATTCTATTAATTTAATTTTTTCTAAACTTGAGAAATTTGGTAGCCTCTTTTTTTGTCCTTGATCTTTCGCCATTTTTTTCTTTTTACGATTTTTATAGATTTACAATATAAAATCCTGCAAAATAAAACACATAACCTATATCTACTAGATACTAGTTCAACATATTTTACATGCACACTCTGAGCGAAATAATTTGTTATACATCTACCAGAAACACACTGTTACTAATTATAAAGACACATTAAAAGTTAATAGAATCTTGCTGTACGTACTAAATTAACAAAACGCTGTCCCACGCTGTCCTCATCTTCCAATATATAGTTCTCTACTAAATGTCATATCCAGCTTATTTTAATTTTCCCTCTTTTTACTTTTAGCAACAACCAATCACATTCTACGTTTGAAAAGAAAGAGAAGTCTTTGATAGTTTTTTCATACAGACTGATACAGACTATAGGTTTAAGTAAACTACAGTTAAAAACACGATATGGAACGCGATATAAGTTTAATCATGCCGTTAAATGTAACGTCAGTTCAGACAATCACGGTTTAGGCCCAGTTCCACAAAATCAAACCGTGATTATCTGAACTGACGTTACATTTAACGGCATGGTTAAACTTATATCGCGTTCCACATCATGTTTTTAACTGTAGTTTACTTAAACCTATAGTCTGTATGAAGAAACTGTCAAAGACTTCTCTTTCTTTTCAAACATAGAGTATGATTGGTTGTTGCTAATAGTGAAAAGACGGAAAATTGAAATAAGTTGGATGCTATGACATCTAGTAGAGAACAATATATTTGTTTCGTATGAAGTAAACATTAACCAACATTAACATTTGCTGTTATATTTGTATATAAGTATTAATTTATTAAAAGGTGGAAGTCCAGTGTTAATAATAATCAATTAGTTTATATTATTGATTTGATTGCATTTATCACATAATAATTGACTTTTATATATAGTTTTATACTCTGTTTTAGAATATAATTCATCGAAGCAAAAAACCCAATATTTTAAATTAAATTTATATACTTACTGTTCTGTTTTATGAGAAATTTCATGCTCGATTTCTGCTAGAACTGCAATAACAAATTCTTTTGATAATCTACATCGTGCATGAAAATCGACATTATCAAATTCTTCCAAATATGATGGTCGTCTTATTCTTATATTTCTTGTCCGTCGATAAATTAGGTTTTCAAAATCTTCAACTTTAGATGAAGATAATATATATTCCAAAGCCATATCTCTTTGGTGTTCAAACGTTCAAAATATTTGTCAACTGAACTCCAAAACCGGGATAGTCATAAATTTTTTTCTCAAATTGATGGTACTGCAGTGTTAAATTTCGTTTAAATTCATTAAACGCCCAAAGTTTTGGGTTTAACTTTAACCAGAGAGAAGAATGAAAGCGGCCACCGGCCGTATTTCGGGGGATACGGCTAGGCGCATTTTAAATACGCCATCTGACCAAAATGCGCCTAAACTACGTCCGCTAGGCGCACTTTCGCGGTGATAAAAGTAAAATGTGCCTAGGTTCGTGTCCGTACTACTTCTATGCATTGGATAGTAGATTAAAAAAAGACAAACGACAGACAATCGTTCCGTCTTTGTCTCACTACTGAGCGGCGCGCGGCAATAAACACGAGGCGAGGTAGCGGCGATCTTATCGCTAAGCGAACATCTCTCCGCTTTTCTTTCATCTTTCACGCTCCAGAGACATCAAAAGACGCGGTAGCGTCTCGTGTCAAAGGAACGTGCGAAGAATTATTTTTCACGCACGCGAGGTAGCACATGGGAGACTAGACGAGCGTCGACATATTATCTGTTTCTTTCCCGCTCGTCTAGCTTATTGACTGCGTGAGCCGCGAGATTTTTCTCGCTACTCCTATACCTCGCTCTTTTTCTCTCTCGCTCGTTCTTTCTCTCTCTCTCGCGCACTTGCTCGCTTTTCCTCTCTTCTCGTGTTCTTACGGCTTGATTAAATATATTAATTACATGACAATATATATATAAATAAATGACACATATATAGTGTATATGTATATAAAGAATATTTAGTATTAATGCACAAATAAAGAAGAGAGAATTATAATGAGAGACGAAAAGTTAATAGAAATCCACTCTTAGCCAATATATACATCTTTTAAAAATGATTTGTTATTAAAGTATATGACAGAATAATTTATTTATGCTAATAAATTTAAATTAAAAATTAAATGAAATGTTATTTGTTTTGTAAAAGATATTCCATTGTTACATTTTTCTTTTCGTAGCAAAAATTAATTTAGTCTAGTAAAAAAGAAATTAGTTTTATTATCATATTTCAATTACGACTTTATTATTTAATTTTACGAATAGATAACGTGCATATTGTTGCTCAACGGAAACCGCGAGAAAATAGTGATCTCCGTCAAAAAAGAAATGCAAACTTTTTAATAATATAATAATTTTTTTACGTAAGTGTTTGTTTTTATAGTATAACCTGTTGAATTTTATTAATTATTAATTCAGCATGTTATAGTATAAAAAATATATTTTAATATAAAAATTAATGTAATATTAATTGTTTGCATTTGCAAGAAATATGGATAGAACAGGATAGGTTGCAATGATACATAGGAAGAAAAAAGATAGATGGATAAATAGATAGATATAGAGATAGATATAGATGGATAAATAGATAGACAGATAGATAGATAGATAGATAAATAGATAGATGGATAGATAGGTATAGAGAAATAGATAGATAGATAGATAGTTAGATAGTATAGAAAAAAAGATAAATAGAAATATAATTATCATTATTATTATTATTAATGTTTTCAGTTTCAAGAGAACATTCGCTTAAACGTAAGTCTTACTTAGGTCCAGTTTCATGACTTATATTATATTAACCGGAATATATTATACAACTTATATTATATTAACCGGAATATATTATACGATTTATATTATTTTAACCGGAATATAATTCGTTAATATTAGAAGTACCGAGCGGTTATTTCTGATCGTTTCTATTTTTTAGATTAATATCCTGTTTCTTTAAGATTACAGGATTTTTGTTTTGAGGGTTTGTTTAATGTGATGTTTGTAAAGAATGTATATAAATTTCTACATATAAGATTAAAAATATGAAAAATATTGCAGTGAAAGCAAGGAGGTTCCACGGTGCGCACGATATCTCAATAACTATTTGACCAATCGACTTGCAACTTGGCAGCATTATAAAATAGACTTCTCTTTACCGTTTTAACTACAATTAACCAAATTCATTAATAATTAATATTTTTTATTAAACTTTACCGAGAGGCCAGAAATAAACGATTTTTGTTCTAAATGCTACCATTTTATTATTTGTGTTCCGATTGTAGTTCAGACGATAGCTATACTTATATAAAATAAAAAGCTACTTTAAATAATTGTGTAAAATTAAATCACACACATTTAGAAATTCCTTGGAATCGTCTATTTGCAACCTCTTTGCTTTTACTGCAATATTTTATATATTTTTAACCTTACATACTTGTAGAAAAATGTATATATATTCTTCAAACATCATTAAGCAATCTCTCAAAACCCGTAATCTTTTAATCATGTGATCTTTTTCGCTTCCGCAAAAAAAATTAACGAAATATACGTATTTTTTGTCGGGTTCAATAAGACAACTCTTTAAAAGCCTATCTCAACAAAATTACATAATCGCATCATTGATATGCACAAGGAAATCAACCAATCATAATCCGTACAAGCGTGCCTTTTATATTAGACATATTTTACATTTAATTAATCTGTTTCCTTCTCTAGAACAAATAATCATCAAAAGTCAAGATAACGTCAAAATTATTTTAACTTAATTTTGACATCATCTTCACTTTTATATAATTATTTGTTCTACTTCAGTTATGCATATGAACAATATGACTATGCAAGTTTGTCTCAATAAGTCTTAAACTCCGGTTAAAATAAATTATGAAACTAAATCGTAGCGTTTTTCAATCATCGGTATCTTTCACGATGTTACGATTATAAATATTATCTATATAACCAATTGTAACCTATATAATGGAACGCTCTTCGATTGAACCGATTGAAATTGCTCATATCAATTATCAATGATATATGGCCTTTCATTACATTTTCTAAGTTTCAATTGTTAATTGAACAATTCCTTTCACAAGTCAAAGATTAACATGATGATTTGAAACATAATGCAAAAAGCTCGAAAATAAATGCGAAGCAGAGAAGAGATTAACAATGAATGATTATTATTTAATATGCAACTTACATTAACATGGAATGTCTAATTGACTTAATGTCTCGAAGCTACTGAATATGAATTTCTGCTCAAATCTCTTCCTTTCTGTAGGAAGTTTTTGGCTGTTTCGGTTACTTTCCTCTACATTTATATTGATGAGTTGAAGCACTTGTTTCTACGAGATGTTTAAAATTCGGCTGACTTTACGAGTGTTAACACTCGTAACCAGGGTTGGGTACGCATAATACCTCATGTTTTATGCGCAGAGTTGTATGCGCAGAAAACTCGAGTATTCTGCGCAGAAAACTGAGCGAGGTTTTCTGCTGCATAAAACTCCTCTTATGCAGAAAACCTCCTTTAAGGTTAGTATAGCTTTATTTCCTTTAGCGATAAGTTCATGAATTTACTGCAAGTTCTAAGATCAATTTTAAATTGGATTCAAAAGATTCAAAGGTTGGATTTTACGTGAAAATGGTATATCCACTTCTAACTAGTCTATAAGAAAAAATGCATGAAGTACAACTCTGTTAAAATTCTGTAAAAAAACAGTATGTTTGTTATTATTTTTTAGTGAAAATGTCAAATACAGGAGGAAGACGTTCTCATGATTATTATATTGAAGGTGAATTTATCAGGGTCAGAGAAAATGGAAAATATTTTGCAATTTGCAAATTATGCAATACAAGGTTGTGCACTACTGCAGTAAAACACCTGAAAACTCATCGGTACGTACAATAGTCGAGGTAATTCCATTATTTATTAATAAATTACCATATTGTGAACTGTTATGGCACAGAAACACTAATAAATCTTAACATAAATCAAAACTTTAAGTTATACAGAATAAATTCAATAGGTATCTTTTCTCTTGTTTTCTTTTCATAATAAAAAAAACGAAGAGGTATTGTGTCGTATGCTATTACCATGAGTTATTAGTAGTCAAGTACTATTAACTCCGTAAGTTTCGTTCCAAACCGTTTCCCGGTCGATGCGTCCTCCCCTTGTTAGATGCAATAGAAGAGTACGTATAATAGATTATAATATATGTACATAAAGTTTTAAAAATAAAACTTATATCGTTATAAAAATTATAACGCAAGTAGTGCAGATAATACGCGAATTAGGTGAAGATAATTTACAAGTATAAATTAATGACATTTACATATTAATGGTGTATATATGGGACGTATATACAATTATTAAAAGTAAAATTTATATAAAACTTACCTTTTTGAACAAAAAGGTAAAAAAAAGGCGCCAAGTAAAAGCGCAACACGTATTGTGTTATTTTTAGAAATTTTAAACTCAAATTATTTTTTTAAGACATATATGTGTACATAACATAAGTTTTTACAAGTAAAACTTATAACTATAATAAAACTCTACAACGCTATTCTACTGTACAAAAGAAGTGATATGATATATTAGAACAGTAGCACCAATTGAGAAACCTAACATATATATATGATTATTGTATACTTAATATTTTTAGAAATCTCAAATTCTAATTATTTCCTTTTTTAAGATATATATTATGTACATAACATAAGTTTTTACAAATAAAAATTATCAAATTATTTTTCTTTCAAGATATATATGTACATAAGCATTTAAAAGTAAAAATTATATAGTGTTATAAAAATTTAACACGTTTATTAATAGTGTCCAATATTTAAAAAAGAATATCTTTTTAAAGGTTATTGTTATTCAAGAAAAACCTAGCTACAAAAAATGTCTATGGCATAAATTTTTACAAGTAAAATTTATCATTATTTATTAGAACACTGAGTTATATGGTTATTTTACTTGTTATTGTAACAAATTAATTATTATAACAATGCAATAAAAAATATTTAATACAAATAATCTTGGCGCGGCTGCACCAAAAACTATATCGAACTAAAACTTGTTTAATACATACATGACAGCATTTTTATTATAATAAAATATACTTATAAATTCTCTCTATACATATACGGTGTAATGTTCTATTTAAGTTTATATAGTATTATATTAAATTATAAACCTTCACTATAGAATATAGATATCGAATGTGAATATATTCTACATATTTTGATATTTTTTTATTCAAAGATGTTATTCTTATTATAATCGACGAAATGTCAATGATATCTAATTTGACTTTTATGTACATACATCTTCGATATAGTTTTTGGTGCAGCCGCGCCAAGATTATTTGTATTAAATATTTTTTATGGTACATAAATACATATTTTTTATGGTACCATGATATGTATATAATATGTACGTACGTATCTATATACGTATATATCTATGTAGATACGTATGTACATAGTATAAGTTTTACTTGTAGAAACTTGTGTTATGTACACATATATACCTTAAAAAAATAATTTGAATTTGAAATTTTTTAAAATAACACAATACGTGTTGCGCTTGTACTTGGCGCCTTTTTTTATTATCTTCACCGTAATTCACAGTAATTGAAAAGCGATCACCCTGGGCGACGAGTCAATAAACACCGGTATTGATTTTTCGATGGCATAGCTCATCACATCGTCTGCTCAGCATCAGCTGATCGGCAATCAAATGACGTGCGTCATAACGTACCAACGCATACCAACATTCTCACCACTCTTTTTATTGCCCTCTCTCTTTCCATCCCTCTCTCGCCCGTTCTCCTCTTTCTCGCCTGTTCCCACCCCTCCCTCTCTCTCCTCTCTCTCCGCTCCTCCCGCTCTCTCCCGCTCCTCCCTCTCTCCCCGTTCTCTCTCCCGTTCTCTCTCCCCTCCCCCGTTCTCTCTCCCGTTCTCTCTCCCGTTCTCTCTCCCGTTCTCTCTCCCGTTCTCTCTCCCGTTCTCTCTCCCGTTCTCTCTCCCGTTCTCTCTCCCGTTCTCTCTCCCGTTCTCTCTCCCGTTCTCTCTCCCGTTCTCTCCTCTCCCCGTTCTCTCTCCCGTTCTCTCTCCCGTTCTCTCTCCCGTTCTCTCTCCCGTTCTCTCTCCCGTTCTCTCTCCCGTTCTCTCTCCCGTTCTCTCTCCCGTTCTCTCTCCCGTTCTCTCCGTTCTCTCCCGTTCTCTCTCCCGTTCTCTCTCCCGTTCTCTCTCCCGTTCTCTCTCCCGTTCTCTCTCCCGTTCTCTCTCCCGTTCTCTCTCCCGTTCTCTCTCCCGTTCTCTCTCCCGTTCTCTCTCCCGTTCTCTCTCCCGTTCTCTCTCCCGTTCTCTCTCCCGTTCTCTCTCCCGTTCTCTCTCCCGTTCTCTCTCCCGTTCTCTCTCCCGTTCTCTCTCCCGTTCTCTCTCCCGTTCTCTCTCCCGTTCTCTCTCCCGTTCTCTCTCTCTCTCTCTCTCTCTCTCGCTCTCTTTCTCTGTCACACATTTTCACCTCCTGTATTCTAGCAATATTCTTCTCTCTCTTACTCTCTATCACTTGCTCACTCGCACTCGCTGCTCTTTGCTTCTTCAGCGCTCTCGTAGCGCCCCTGGTGTCGGGAAAACAATTTGCACGTTTTGCCCCACTCCTTTGCGTCCGACGTTTCTTACTGAATCGAAATTTTCCGTGATTCAGACTTTATCTTAAAATATCTCCACTTAGAGACAACGTACACAAAAAGTACAAGAACACTTTTCTTTCTATTTTTGAAGGCTGAATCGATTGGGTATAAAAAAATGTCGATCGGTTCGGCCATTGCTGAGATATGAAAATCTCACCTCGTTTCAACTCGGAGTTTCGCGTATAATAGGCACGGTGTGCCTCTTGATATGCTTGAGGCACTGCACTTCATATCAATCAAAGAAAGACTTAAGTATAATGTATGTATTAGGTGTACAAATGAATAATCCAAATTATTTTAAGCAGTTATGAAATCAATTTTAAATTGAATAGATTTTCCCGCTCTTTTGTGATTATGCAATGTTGACATATAGCTATTAAAAAGAACATATAGTTTGACGAAAGGCCCAACATAACCTTCAAAAGTATTCAGTTCAGTACAGTCGAAAATGGCAATAGATAAGGTGCATATCCGACACTGCATTCTTTACGAATTCCAACAAGGAAAAAATGCTGCAAGAGCGTGCGAATCGATTTGTTCCTTTCTCGGCGAAGGTGTTGTATCATACGATGTGTGCGCATTTTGGTTTAAGCGGTTTAAAAGCGGTAATTTCAATCTAATCGACAAACAACGCCCTGGAGGCTCTCCAGGTGTGTGATAAGTGTGATAATGATGATTTGGAACAACTGCTCGCTGAGAATTCGGCACAAACACAAAAAGAACTTGCAGAACAGTTGGGAGTAACGCAGCAAACGATTTCCAAACGCCTACATGAGATGGGAAAGATGCAGAAAGAAAGAAAATGGGTTCCGCACAAACCAACAAAAATCAACGAGTGGCAGCGTGTCTTTCTCTTCTCAATAAGCAGCGTCGAAAGTCTTTCTTGTGGAAAATCGTCACGAGCGATGAGAAATGGATACTCTATGACAATCCGAAACGAAGAAAGTCATGGGTAAATCCCGGCGAATCATCAAAATCGGTCGCAAAACCCAATCACTTCGGAAAGAAGGTTCTTTTCTGCATTTGGTGGGATATTAAGGGCGTGCTTTATTATGAGTTGTTGGAACCGGATGAAACAGTTACTGCGGATTGCTACCAACGTCAATTAATCTACTTGAGTCAAAAATTGGAGAATTGCAAAACGCCCGTATACTGGCAAAGGAGAACGTCCAGTGAGATTGTTGCATGACAACGCCAGGCCACACATTGCTTCCAATACAAAAGACAACATAAAAGATAATGAGTCTTGGCTGGGACGTCTTGCAGCACCCGGCGTATTCACCAGACATTGCTCTATCCGATTATCACTTGTTCCGGTCGATGCAACACGCCTTGTGCGATATGCATTTCCAACCAGTGGATGAGATCCGAAAATGGCTTGACGACTTTATCGTGTACAAAGACGTAACATTTTTCCGAGATGGAATTCATCAGCTGCCTAAAAAATGGCTTAAAGTTATAGAAAGAAACGGCGAATACTTTGATTGAACAATTTAATTTACTTTCTTTGAAAATGAACCTTGAATGTAGCTGAAAAAAATTGGATTATTCATTTGTACACCTAATACCAACAGGAAGTTTCCTTTTCCTCTTACCTATAGACATTTTCCTCTTCCTTTTTTTCTTTTAAGTCACGAATTTTATAACCGAATGACATACTTGACACGTGAAGCAAACCGCGCAAACGACGCGCAATCGACTGTCAATCAGTATCGCGGAAAAGAAGCTTCACCCATTTCGATACATTCGAGATTCGAGGTTTCACGCACTTTTTATGAAGGGGAATGTAAACCGCTGGTCTAGTTACTCTGAGGTTTCTTTGCTATATGTATTTTTGTTTTTATAAATAGGATGACACCAGGTCAAATTCTAATACTATTGAGGTGTTTCTGTCGAAAACAGTTTCTGTCTGCAAAATGTAACGAACACAATTTTGCATTTTTTGGAACATCTATATTATTTAACTCTGTTACTTCTAGCCATTTCATACCTTCTACTTCTTCTGGGCTCTTAGGAATTCTGTAATTATTTGATTAATATTAAAAGTTAATAAAAGTTAACTTTTAAAAAGTTAAAACAGTAATATATGAGGCCTATCCCAAAAGTATCCGATCTCTGCGTATATTTTTGTCCTTGGGCATCCTATTCTTATAACAGGTGGAAAACAGGTATTCAGTATTCAGTATATCAGTTAAGGTTGACCTTTAGGAGTATCCCCACCAAACGACATGACCCAACAACTGTTCAGTTGGCAACGGTACACAGTTCTGTGAGCGTCGAAAACTCCGAGTATCGCATTTCACAATGACTATATGAAACGCACCTACTCATTCATCTCACCTGATTCAGGAGTTTTTAACTAAACACGGCATTGTCCAACTTCGTCAACCTCCGTACAGTCCAGACATAGCCCCGTGTGACTTTTGGTTGAAACATCCGTTAAAGGGCAAAAGATTTGACGATGTTGAGGAAATAAATGCAAGGAGGAAGCTGTTGACTATCAGAAAAAACGACTTTTAGGACTGCTTTCACAAGTGGATGCACCGTTGGCAGAGGGTCATTGCTTCAGAAGGAAATTACTTTAAAGGTGACGTTATTCATATCATTCCAGAATTTTTTCTCATGATATAGGCAAAGGTCGGATACTTTTGGGACAGACCTCGTATACATATACTAGGTGCGCAGTTAACTAAATTTCCGGGGTTTTTTGATCAATGAAAAATGGAAAATTTCAAGAGAAACACAAAAAATAGTTTATTCAAAGTATCGTCCCTCGCTAGCTACACATTTTTGCCATCTCTCTGGCAATACATGAATACCGCGACGATAAAACGACGCGTCTTTGGACCGAAACCATTCATCCAACCAATTTTGCACTTCTTCGAAATTGGCCAAGTGTTGCCCAGCCAAGCCATGCGCCATCGACCGGAACAAGTGATAATCGGAAGGGGCCAGATCTGGCAAATACGGCGGGTGCGATAGCAGATCTCATTTCAGCGTTTTGATGGTGTCCTGGACGATGGAAGTGAGATGGCACGGAGCGTTGTCGTGCTGCAATATCACTCGTTCGTGTCTCGTGTCCCATTCTGGCCGTTTTTCGAGCAATACATAGTTCAAATTGATCAGTTGTTGACGGTAGCGATGCCCATTGACAGTTTCACCCGGTTTCAGCAGCTCATAGTACACGATTTCTTTCTGGTCCCACCAAACGCAGAGCATTGTCTTCTTTCCGAAGCGATTTGGCCGTGCCGTCGATGTTGATGCTTCGCCAAGTGAAAACCACGATTTTTTGCGTTTGGGATTCTCGAAATATATCTACTTCTCATCGCCAGTAACAATTCGATGCAGGAAACTCTTTCTTTCATGCCGCAAAAGCAAAATTTCGGAAGTGGCTCCTCGATTTTCCATCTGTCTCTCAATCAACTCATGCGGTACCCATTTTTCTTCCTTTTGAATTTTTCCCATGGCATGTAAACGTTTGGAAATACCTTGGCGAGTCATGTTTAATGCCTCCGCAAGTTGATCTTGTGTTTGCGTATCATCTTTATTCAATAACGCTTGCAGATCGGCGTCCTCAATTGTTTTTGGTCTTCCGGAGTGCTCCTTGTCCTCGGTGTCAAAATCGCCACTTCTGAAGCGTTTAAACCAATTTTCACAAGTAATTTTCGATGGTGCATGTTCGCCGTAGGCCTCCTCAAGCAAACGACGTGCTTCAGCTGCACTTTTTTCAAGTTAAAGCAGAAAAGCAAAGCTTTCCACAAATGCTGTTTATTTGGCACAAAACTCGACATCTTCGTTGTTAGAAAAAATATTTTTGCGTTACGATATGTGTTGGTATTACGACTAGTTATTGTTAACAGATGTCCAAACTATAAAAAAACTTAATTTCATTAACTTAACATAACTTCAGACATATATGTCGACTACATGTGTCGTTAGCGCTTTGTGTGAAACCCGGAAACTTAGTTGCGCACCTAGTAACTTGTTTGCAATATTGATTGATCTATTTATTAATCTATGCGAAATGTAATTTTTTGTTCGTAGATTGGTTCTATCACAATTGCGTTTTATGCTTCCGGACATCGTATGCTCTGTTTGTGCAATTTTTGACATAACAATCCGGCATGACTATTAATAACTGTCTTAGTTTTTATCAGATCAGGATTAGAATATTATATCGAATTAGAACAAGTTTTAATGCAAATGATAATGTCTCAGTTATCGAATAATCTTAGTGTATCAAATTAGTCTAATTTCGGCCTCGCATCATAAAATTAGATACTACATGCGACACAACAAAATGGACACTACGATGGACCTTTCTTGCCTTTCAGTTTTCACTTCCTTCGTCCATAAATATATTTCGTGCTTTGTCCATATATTTTTATGTCTATAATTTTTTATATACTTTTAATTAACATAACATCTAATATCGCTATTTTTACAACGAATTATTCTTACTTAACTTTTTTGGTTTTTTCTGTAGGAAATACAAATTTAAATATCTTTATGTTCATTTAAATATCCTTATTATTTTTTTTGTAAAAAATATGAGTCTAGATAAACAATAAATTATTTTAATTTTGTTACATAAGGGAATACTGACTTTTTTGTAAGAAATATTTTTTTCTAAAATGTTTCGTTGCCAACATATAAATTTGTAATACTTATATAAGTTTGTAACACTTTAACTGAAACATATAAGTGATTCTTGATTCTTTTTTTATCTTATTTATATGTTTAAATATTTTTTATCACACTTTGCATTACACTTCTTGCCGTCTTGAAAATATTTATTCGAAAACACGATATTTTTCTTAAAGAAAAATACGCTTTCCTATTTAAATTTAAATTATATTTATTCAAAATACGAAAATATTGAAAAAACAATATTATTAACTTTTTTCAATGTATAATATTATGAATAAGACATTTTGTATATATAGACATTTATTTACACGCACATGCGCTTCCCTTATATATAAGCGTGCGCGTATACACATACACACACACATAAATATTTATTTACCTATTGTGTAAATACAAAATCAATTTTACTATTTTTTCATTCATTAAACATTTTCCTAAATGTAAGAAAATTTTATTAAATAAATGCTCTCATCGGGATGCTATGCAAAATATATTATATTAATTATTATTATATTATATATTAATTATTATATTAATATTATATATTAAATATAAACCACTAATTACCATGGGTTATCGTTATTATTGTTATAATATATTTTCAAACGACATTTCTGGATTGTAATGTAGATTTGCCGTACACAACAGCGGCAACTTTTTGTTCAATTCTTTTACAACCAGCCATAGAGTACAAATTATAAGGCTCCGGTCCAAAAGTCAGATGCGACAGAACTTCCTGGATCATTTCTTTTTTCGGAGAAACAACACCTCGCTCGGTGAAAGCACGTTCCAGACATTTCCTTACATGTACCTCCTCTAGCGGCAGAAATGGCACATAATGATCGATCACACTGGTCTGTATGGTATCACTGTGATGAAAACCACCTTTCTCACTAAACGCACCATCGGCGATCAGTTTCTCGAAGTCCTGTAGCCGCGTATCTTCTCGTTTCTTGCCTCTCTCCCATAAACTAAAAAGATGCCGCACAATCTGCGCGCTACCGGTATTGGATAAGAAGATGAAGATTGCTTTATTTTGATGTATAGACTCGCTGTATTTTGACGATTTGCGGTAACTGTGGTAATCTAGAAATGGTACCAACACGTTCAATAGGCCCTCTGGCATCTTGTCTACTTCGTCAAATACGAACATTGATCTTTCACATTGTCGTAAACTGCTGGAAATGATTTTGTAGAGTTCCTCCTGAATAACGGGAAAAAGTACTCTTATTTATTTATCTTAAATTCTCTTATTATACAAGATGTTTCAGTTAAAGTGTTACAAATTTATACACAGTGATTCGGGACAATCTTTCGTCCTTAATATACTATATTCTTTAGCAAATTCTAAGACTATTTTTCCTCTTACAAAATGCTATCCAGTACTTAGTTATTGAGTTATTAAAATAAATAGTTTGTCGCTGGGCCGAATACAAAAGGAAGGCAAAAATGGGACAATTCGGGCGCCCGCCGCGTAGACGCTGATGTGATGTGTTAATCAACGCATGTGATAACATTCATACATTATTTTTAAAACTTAAAAATTTTAATAATCGCAGATGTAATAGCAAATATAGTATTATAAATTAGTAGGATACAATATTAGAACGTAACGTATGAGAGTAAAATATTCGATATTATATAAGGTTTTTTAACTGTAAAATAAATTATAAAAATACGAACGAGAAGAACGTGCAATACTGATCTTACTTGGATGCTACAATTGTTGCTTATTGCCGTTTTCTACCGTTGCAGACCTAATGTAGAATTTGAATTTCAATGCGTCGGATTGTACCTGTGTAAACTATGAGTGACACGCGCTTCTTCGTTCGCGACAAACACGAGATAATTTCTGTGAGCACAAAAAACTCACATATATTCATCATTTGTTAATTTATTTTTAAAAATCAATCTTTATATCGGCAAAGCTCTGTGTCTTAAAGACAAACGAACGAAACCGATTGGTGAAATGCACGAACAAGACCAATTGGAAAATTGTAAAACAGGCTGAGAATCACCCGATTTATTGTAAGACACGAATATGTCGCATTTTTAACCTCTCTTCTTTTTAATTTTACATGCTATGAGGAGAAAGGATTGTCTATAAATCACGATCAAATCAGGCGTAAAGTTAAAAATAAAATTCGTTAATCTTACGGGAACGAAAGTGTGCTAATAAGTAATAAAAACTCAATCTAAACTCATTAATTTCAAGATAAGCAATCTTTATTAAAAAATATAAATTCGTAGATTCACTCAAAATTAGAATATCTTATGTTTTCTAAACGTAATTAACACTCCATTCTTTTCGTTCGTATTATTATAGTTTATTTTACAGTTAGAAAAGGTTTGCATAATATCAAATATTTTACTTTCAAACGTTACGTTATAATATCCTGCTAATTTATAATACTATATTTGCTGTTACGTCTGCGATTATTAAAATTTTTAGTTTTAAATATAATATGTATGAATGTTATTGCATGCGTCGATCGGCATATCGCACCAAGCGCTGAATGTCAGCGCCTACGCGGCGCGCGCGCGAACGGTCAATTGTTCCGTTCCTACCTGCCTTCTGTATCCGGCTCATAGTAGACGAACTATTTATCTTAATAACTCAGTAACTAAGCATTGGAGAACATTTTGCAACAGGAAAAATAATCTTAGAATTTGCTCAAGAATATGATATATTAAGAAGGACAGATTGTTCTGGATCACCCTGTATGTTAGCAACGGAGCATTCTAGAAAAAAATTTCTATTACAAAAGTTTTATGATTTTATGAAATACATAAGATGGTACGATTAGTTTGACTTTTTTAATAGCCATTTGAAAATTATGTGAAGATCATCATAAATTTTTCAAATGGAAACCCTCTTTTTCATCAAATTATCATCAAATTCTTATCAAATACTTATACCTTACGTGCACATCCTGGATAATACTAATGTCAGTAGTATTATAATTTTCAAGCTTTATAATACAAAAAATATTTCACGAAAAAATATTTTATTATAGTGTTTTGAAAAGCTCTCAAAGTAAACTATAAGGAATATAAAATGGGAATTTTCATTTAAAAAATTTAAGATGAGTTTCGCATAATTTTCAAACAGCCATCCAGTGTCAAATCAATGACATTATCTTATATCTCCCTCAAAGTAATAAAATTTTTGTAAGAAATATTTTTCTTAAAAATGCTTCATTTCTGATGTATAAATTTGTAACAGTTTAACTTACTCCGCGCAGAATAATATAGAAATTTATTTTTTAATCAATATTATATTACATTTCACGTTAATGAAACATATTCAAATTACTATTCAAATAAGCCAATTACACAGGTCTACAAGGTTTTGTTGTTGGGCAGCTGGAGGTCGTTTCCCAAGTAATTTTCTGCGTAGAATCCGAATCCGAGGTCAGAATTGGCCCATCACGTCAGGATTTTGAGATATTTGAGGTTATATACTCGAAAAATGGCTTTTTGGGCTACGTTTGAGGTTATGTACAGGACGCACAAAATTTTTTAGCTCTTTTCTTCTAATTGCATTATTTAGTACTACTCTTTCCCTTCAAAATGAGCTGTCAAAAGGTCATCTACGATTTTTCCTTGCAAAGTTACGGCCATTTTAAGATAACATGATGAATTCCAAACCCTGCGCCGTTATAGCCCAACAACCTCATAAGCATTCACATTAAACCTGTAAACTTTGAACTATAAACCCGAAAACCTGGACTGAAAACTGTATGTATGGGTTTTTTGGGTCGCTGATTACTAATGTGAATGCTCATGAGGTTGTTGGCGCAGGGTTTGGAATTCATCATGTTATCTTAAAATGGCCGTAACTTTGCAAGGAAAAATCGTAGATGACCATTCGACAGCTCATTTTGAAGGGAAAGAGTAGTACTAAATGATGCATTTAGAAGAAAAGAGCTAAAAAATCTTGTGCGTCCTATACATAACCTCAAAAGTAGCCCAAAAAAAGCCATTTTTCGAGTATATAACCTCAAAATCCTGACGTGATGGGCCAATTCTGACCTCGGATTCGGATTCTACGCAGAAAATTACTTGGGAAACGACCTCCAGCTGCCCAACAACAATCATGATCCCATTTTTTGTAGACCTGTGTTATTAGATATACACGCATACAAAAGTTTTAGTTTTTTCAGCCTCTAATGTAACTATTTTAAATTAAAATATTTTCCCGCCGTTTTGAGTTCTTGTAAAATTGGTATTAAAAGATAATGCTAAAAAAAGCCGATTTTTGCCTCTCGGGGAAATGGATAAAACCTACTCCATACATTTTCCACACATAAATACAAACCGAAAATGCGCCTAGAACCGCCCGGAAGCCTGAGGAGAACTTTTGGCAAATTATTTAACTTGCTAAATAAAGTGTTGAAACGTGACCTCTTTTCAAGTGGAGAAGTATTGGAGAAAAAAAGTTCTTTTCTTCTTTTCACACACACACACACATACGCGCGCGCACGCACACCCGCTCGCACGCGCACCTGCTCGCACGCACACATATACAGAGTGCTAAATTTCAAACGTAACAGGTAAAGAATTTCGAAAATTATGAAAGATATTAAAAAAAGCTAAAACACATGTTCCATGATTTCGAAGGGAAAAGAGAATGGCATTGTCAGTTTTTTATTTGGAGAGCATTTTCAAGGTCAGTTGAAGGTCAACTTAATTTTTTTAAATAGAAAGCCCAATTTTTTATTATATCTTCTTTTTCTACCAATTAATTTTAACAACTTTGTGTCTGAAACATTTTTTATTTGCCTAATATTTTTTTAGATTTAAGCAAAAAATTTATTACTTTTTCAACATTTAACTTACGATATCTCGCTAACTATTCGTCGAAAGAAAAAATACTATTAGACGTTTTTACTTTATTTATTATCAAGAATATATTACTATGATAGTGCTCTGACTTTTGTTAATTTAATAATTTTGAAATTTCCAAAGGTCGATAAGTTGACAAAAGTTAGGGCACTATTATAATAATAGTAAATAAAGTGTTGTAAATAAACTTGATAGTAAATAAAGTAAAAAATCTAATACTATTTCTTCTTCCGACGAATAGTTAGCGAGATATCGTAAGTTAAATGTTGAAAAAGTTACCCAGTTTTCCTCAAACATTTCAAAAAATATTAGGCAAATAAAAAAATGTTTGAGAAAAAAGTTGTTAAAATTAATTGGTAGAAAAAGAAGTAGAAAAAGATATAATAAAAAATTAAGCTTTCTATTTTAAAAAATTAAGTTGACCTTCAACTGACCTTGAAAATGCCCTCCAAATAAAAAACTGATAATACTATTCTCTTTCCCCTTCGAAATCGTGGAAACCCCATGGAAAACGTGTTTTAATTTTCTTTAACCCATTAATGCCCGATGGGACAGAAATTTCGCGATGATTTCAATGTTATGAATTTTTATAAAAATGCTCGAAAATTTTAATTCAAAGTACATTACTAACAGGTTTCGAGGTCGCTCTTTCCGAATCCATTGCGAGAATCATAAAAAAATGAGTGTTTGTATTGATTTATAACGGTTTCTTTTCCAAAAAATGCGATTTTTTCTCGTCAATTTTTTTTTAGATCATAGATTTCATCTTGATAAAAATGTTGAATATTACTGAGAAGTACTCCAATCGTGTCCTCAAGACTTGTACTTAAAATATATGTGGTTCTGAAATGTTTTGCAATTTAGTAATTGCAATATGGCGACCATATGTATGTATTACTATATATGATATATTGCCGGATTCTTGGGAACTCGGTCGAATAACTCGTTATGAGTGCATTTTTATGAAAAATTATCTAAAATAAAAGTTGTCCTGTTGATCGAGTTCTTTCACGTGGTAGGCCCCAAAGGAGGAGGGTCCCTAAAGTCTGTTTTTGGCACCCTTCAAAATTGGACCAAAATGGCTGGAATCACTTCCTTATACCCTTGGAAGTAATATTTAATCAATTCCAGCCTAAACGGAAGTATTTAGAGTATATACTTCAAGTATACATGGTGCATCAGCACGCCCGTATCAAGCATTTCTTTAGAAAACTAAGCGTTTCTGAGAAAAAACGTTTCAGATAAAAGTTATATGGTTTCAAGGGGAACATAAGATGGTGTCATTGGTTTGACCTTGGAGTCATTTGAAATCACGTGAATGTCGATTTCAATATTTTATATAGAAGCCCCTATTTT